TGCACTACTCTGTTGCAGCCAAAGACCTGGGACACAGTTTTTAGCAACTCCATGGTCAGAAACATTCCCTCCCCCATACACACCTTCCAAAATCTACAATTTAACCCAACATTGATTTCTCTAATTTTTAATATTAGCGCTTCATAAATGGAGGGTCAACCTGCAAATTAGCATCTTTATTTTGCTCATCATAACATAGGTTTGTGATATTGCTGAACAGTCTGAAAGCTGTATGGTAGGATGACAAGCAGTCAAAAATATTTTTTGAAATATGGAATAATTGTGCCGTAAATAGGCATGAGTAGTGCTAAGCACATCCATTATTTTATATGTTATGCTCCTTCCCAACAGGAGGAGTATCAAGAACATTAGATAATGCTTACAAATGTTTGGACCTATTTTCTTCATGTGCATCAGGATATGATCAAAGGCACAAGAATCTAATTACAGCCCAATCAAAATAATAGATTAGTATATTTCAAGGCTTCAAGGGACCAATGTGATCATCTACTCTGACTTCCCATAAAACATGATCACAGAATGGTCCCAAAATAATTCCTAGAGTAGATCTTTTAGAAAAACATCCAGCCTGGAAGAAAAACCTGCAACAAGCAATACCTGATTAAAGTGTCCACAGGCTTGGCCTTCACCCCTAGCCTGGCTGCTTTAAGATGCTTTGGCAGTGCAAAGCAGTTGAAAAGCTGGCTTAAAACTGTCCAGATAAGCAATCTCCTGTCATGAGGTTGTGAGAGGAGTATCGATGTGTTCCAACAGTCCCAGGCTGGTGTTGCCTTGGGTCTGTAGTCAGCCCTGAGGCTGCTTTAAATTACACCAGAGACAGCACCAGTTTAGATCTGAGCCTCAGGGTCAGGGAGGTGCAAAAAACATCTATTGTGAACTTTACCTTTTCTTCTTCACAGTGCACGGTACTGAGAATCTGGGCCCATGTATTTAAGAGACAGTAAGCAACAGTGAGTGCAGTCAGAGGGTATGTCTAGACTACATGCCTCTGTAAATTAGACATAGTCAATGAAGTGGGGATTTAAATATCCCCTGCTTCATTAGAATAAAAATGTCCACAGTGTTGTGCTGGCTCAGCTGTTTGTCGGCACAAAGCGGCAGTCAAGACAGGGATCGGTCGGCAAGGAAAGCCTTTGCCGACCAATCCCGTAAACCTTGTTGCATGAGGCATAAGGGATCGGTCAGCAATGGCTTTCCTTGCTGACTGATCCCTGTCTTGACTGTCGGTTTCTGATGACAAACATCTGAGCTGGACATCTGAACCTTGACTTTGATGTTTTCTTGCTTTCTACAATTGTTCTCCAACTCACTGAACCTTAGGCTCTCTCCGGCTGTGTCTACATTGGCATCCCTTTCCGGAAAAGGGATGCTCAGAATGGATATATGTATGAGTGTCTTCCCACGTACACTAATATTAAGATAAATAAAGCATTAAAGAAAAGTAAAACACTGGAATCAATGATGTTGCACTAGTGTAAAACAGGAGCCCAACAGCAGTGAATTAATCTGAACTAAGCCATGTTAAGCAATGATTTGATTAAAAGGAGCTTCATTTGAGACAGCAAACATAGATCAGCACAAACAGTTTTTCAGCCAACAGTTCACAGCAGCTGTTAGCATTTAAATTGTCAAACCAGAAGTTTCTTAGTGTCTCTTACATGCCCAAGGAAATATTCAATCAGAGTCCTGTTTGATAAACTCATCACAAGTTTGGCCTTCATATAGATTGGGTGTTTTACTTTTGAGAATGTCCGGAATATGAAATAAAACATCATGAAAAGGATACAGAAGTAAACTAGAGCCAAACTAGCACAACAGCCACCTCAGCTCTACCTGCATTAAAAGAATATTATTAAAGCTGGGAAACCAAGCACTCAAAACTTTGGAAATGCCAGAATTAAAGTTTTGTGAGTACAGGGCTGGTGGCAGACTTTGCTAGGACCTGGCCAAAGTGGGGGAGAAGAGGCTCAACTCTGGGCCACCCCAGAAGGGATGGGATTGTGGGTGGAAGCACAGGCTGGTAGCTAGCCTCCCCCACCCAGCCCTCAGCGCTGCCCAGACCACGCCATGCAGGGCTCCGGTAGTGATTTAAAGGGTAGCAGAAATGATGGCCCTTTTAAATCACCCAGTTCTGGGGCAGCTGCCTGCTTTGCCCTCACTGTTAGCAGCACTGCTTGAATAACTTAATCTGGCTCCCTTCTGCAGATTCTTTTTGAGCCAGTCATTAATTATATTATCGCATACTATTTTTTCCTGACAAGATCCCCTAACTTAGTCAGTGCACAAGATGGATAGCTCTCACTGAATGAGCAACTATTCAATATTTTGTTTTCTCCTTATTGGCCTTATTTATTGTATGCTATTCAAACCCTGCTATGAAGAAAGGATTATTTATCTCCTAAAGGGATTCTCTGTGGCACTCACGACTATACTATCAAAAATATTACTGAATTTATTTGAACAATACTCCCACAAGATAAGAACACTTGCCTTATTTTACAGATGGGTAACTCAGGCACAGAGAGATTAAAGCCATACATTTCCACTAATTTTGATGCCCTAGTTGAGACATCTAGGACTTCTTTTTTCAGAGTATTTAGCACTAAAACAGCATTTTATGTTTTCAAAGCAAAGCTCCACTGGATTTAAGTTGTAACTGTGAGTACTTAGTACCCTGATAGGGAGATATTCAGAATTAGTGACCATCTATGAACAGTCTGGTTTCAGTGACTTATCCAGAATTGCACAGGCGCTCTGGGGCAGAGACCGGAATAGAAGTTAATTTTCTAGGGCAGCAGTAAATTATGTTAACCCTGACACCCTCCTTTCTCTTTCTTTTCCTGTTCACTCTACTACCCTCATTCCTCCCATGCTGGTTCTTAGTCCCAGTTTCCTCCCCTCCTCCCGACAAACTCAGCGTACAAGCCAACAAGCTCCCAGTCCCATCCACCCTTTCTTTCATCAGCTCCTTGCCCAGCCTTTTCCCCCAACCAATCTTGGACCAGATGCATTCAAATTAGACATTGTATTCCATGTAGCCTGGGTGCCACAGGCAAAGAGGGAGGGCAAGTCATTGAGAGCACCAGAGAAAAAAGCTCTCTGCTCTCAGTTCAGGTGCCTGGCCCTGTCCTCACCCAGAGGATCTGGAAGCAACAATTACAGTGGAAGCCCAGATCCACTGTAGCCCTGGGCTCGAGCACATGTATTCCAGTCACACATAGAAGCTGTAAGAGCATGAAGCATGCCAGTCACTTTGTGGGGATGGGTTCATGCAGCACCTGATCAGCAGTAGGGATTGTGAGGGGCTTGAGCATGCAACTTGGTCAAATTTGAGCACATTGTCATGGGGATAGCAAAAGGCAGAACCCTGACAAAAAGGGGTCTCCCTACTCTTGAGTGACCCTTGGCCTTTTTTCAAGAAAAGATCACCAGAATTTTGTAATATGAGCAAAACCCTATATTTCCCTATCCTTGATTTTAGAAATGGCGACTTTCCCCACCCACCCTCCAATTCCCTCTAAGAAAGACCTAGAAAAATTGTCTGCGGCAGACACCTAACACAGATACTCAACCTAAATGGTTGAAGTTTGGTAGTAATAAGTAAAAACAGTGTCTTCTAAAGGAAAATGTCAAACAACCCTAAATGAAGGTGTTGCCTGTAATAATAATATTATCTATTTGTTAAGCACCAGCAATAAGCTCAGTCCGACACAAGGTACAGAAGAAAACTGGATTTCTGCCCTAAGGGATATATAATATAATTAGACTTTAAACAACTATTGACGCCACTACTGCTTCAGCTTGTAGCATGTGCTTAAGTTTATAGGTTAGTATATGTAAGCAAATGCTTTATGAAGTAACACTCAGATGTTACTCTGAAAACTAATAATTTAACCTTGTGAAAAATGTTCATGGCCTACTTTTCCCTTAGAAATAATTGTACTTGTCATGCTCCAGAAATGAACGTGCTATGCAATGAATAACAGAATCGAGTAAACACCAAAATGGACAGGACTTTCTGTTCAAACAGGGTGCCAGTCCTTATGGAAGGGATGGGATAACTGATACCTCCTAGGGCCCAAGGCTTGAGTTGGGGTGACCTCTGATAAGGCTTTTTGGGTTTTTTTGCATGAATGCACATACATTCTTTTATCATTTTAATTGTATTTTCTTTGTAATGCTTTCCACCTTAAGAATGAATGGGCTTGCTTACAAAGAGCTGTGTGGTTAACTGTGGGCCATTATGCAATGTATAGCCTTCTCTGGAGAGAAAGCAAAGTGAAGATGCCAGCCCACATTGGCAGCCTGGATCACTGTGGAGAACACAGTGTAGACAGAGAACCGTGCACCTGGTCAGAAGGGAAAAAGAAACAAGTCTATGCCCAAGAGGGGTGAGGACTGAGGAGCTGAGGGACTCAAGTGGTTGCCTTCAAAGGACCTCACAGGGAGAATACTGAGGTAGTTGCCATGAACTGTGACACCTTCCATCCATTAAATACCTCTTCCCCATGTTATTCGTTCCAAATCATTACACTGCTTATTATTCCCTCTGCCCTCTTAAACACTTCTCCTAACCTTCCTACAATAGCTCATGGCGATACCCCTCTTCTTTCCCCATTCTTGTCTCCCTTACTGATAATTACTGCACCCATCCACCCTCTCAGCATTGCCCCTTGGGGCACCCCAGTAACTCAAGCTCTTTGGATTTTTGCACGTTATTTGTGCAGCATTGCTGCTATAATGGTTAAAATGCTTTAGTTCACGTTGACAAATACTCACCAAGTGGCAAATACCATATGTCGAGCAGGTCAAAGAAAACAGCAACAGAATGAATGAAACACGTTGCAAATTGGAAAGTCATTTACTTTTTCACTTATTTGAAAAGGGTTGATTAAAATCAGCCTTTCTTTGCTTTATAAATATTTTACTTTTTTAAATTAATTATTTTGTTTCTTCAGTGTTCCTTTCCCCTTTTTTTCCTCTCTCTCTTTCCTGGCCATTTTTTCCATTTGGCACTTGAAAAGAAGAATGGGGGGTGAGGAGAAAAAAAGAAAAACTGATTAATGGAAATGCCAACTATGTTATTGCTAGTTTTGTAAAACAAACAAACAAACCAAATCCAGAAAATTACAAAAATACCTCCTCCTACACTTACCACAAAAAGGTTGGATTTAAACAAGAGGCCATTTTTCATTTGAGATATCCAGACCAACTGTAATCATACATAGGAAACCTGGACTCCATTTTATTCCTGTTTTCCACCACCCAATGAGAGAATCATGCTCTCCATGGTAAAACCTGTGGGAGAGGGCTTGTGGGTAGGAAAAAAACCAGAAGAGAGGAGCTCGTGGATTTTTTTCTGCCTGATCACTCATTCAGTAATGGCACTGGGTTTGCTCCATCCTGTGCAACGAGCTATGGGCACATCCCATAAAACTGATCAACTACAGGAAAACCTCAAGAGGCCAAAGCCATCCACAAATAACCAGGTGTCCTCCTTCCCCTCCCTACTTTCTGTCAACATGGGTCCAATGAAGATATGTGTCAGAGAACTTATCCTGTCTACAGCAGTCCCTGGAACCCACCTTGCTGCAGGACTCCACGATGCTGCAAGTTCCATGATGAAGGTATTGTGCAACCCTTGTTTATCTCATCTTTCCTAGGTGAGCTCTACCGGCCTGGTGCATCCAAACCTCAAGCCCAGCCAACTAGGGGTCACCTATTACCTGCTCCTAACCTCCCCAATCCTTCCATCAGGGCAGACCCAAATCTTCATGGAGCCCTTCACAGGGTGTGATAAAAGCAGGGGAGACTGTTTTGCAGAGGAAATGACGCCCCCCTCCCTTTGCTTCCTGTGTGGATTTTGATTGCACCATCTGGTCCTGAGTTTCTATGCTATAGTCTTATTAAACATAAATATCTGCAATAATATTGATGGGAAACAAAGCAATTACTGGCAAAGCAAGTTGCTTGTGACAGAAATATTCTTCCTTTCATTCATGTGTGACCCAGTGTGAAAGCTCTTCTTTAAATTCAGAGGGGGATATTTTTTTCTCCGCATGTTCACATAGCTTCCATTAGCACTAATGGGACTCCCAAGCATTGAATGAGAGAAGAATGTACCCCAGAGTATTTATAAAATCAGAGTAGTGATATGAATTCTACAGAGTATTTCACTTTACTTGTCTGCTCTTTTTTTTGATCCATTTCATATTTGAAACAAGCAATTAAGCGCTCGTGTGATATTTGAAACAATGGGCTGAGTTTGCACACACTTGTCAGCTATCACGGCTGGTGCTGGGTAGCACTCTCACTGGGTTTTGGCCACACAAGGCTAAAAAGAGATCATGATCACAGCTGGAGATGGGCAAATGTTGAAAATCACAACCATGAATATTCACTTTAATTTTCCAGTGAATTCTCTTGGGCTGCCCATTTAGTGTTTCCTTTCTGGGAGCATTCTATTACCCAGGTTGATTAGCATGAACAGTTGTAGGAAGGATACATTTATGTTACCCATTATTTTGGTTTTGGTTTTGGTTTTCTTTCAGCTTCCAGACTCACCTTTCCAGCAATGGGCTTCCATTCTTTTAGGCTTCAGAGGAGAAGCCTCTGACAGTCCCTGCAGGCTTGGTCTCTGAAGGCTTGGTTCCTCCTTTTGAAATTGCTTCCAAAGCTGAAAAATATTGCAAAAGTGTTTGCAGGTAAGGGTTTAAGGAAAGGATTAATTAGCCATCCATTTGCAATGTAATTCTCCACAGAGCAAAGAATGCCTACCAGGAATGGATACGCTGAAGAAAATTCCCAACACAAGGAAAGAGAAGTGTTCAGCTTGGAAGCCCAAAGTAAAAAAAAAAAATGTCCCAGGTTACTATCCAGCATCTCCTCTACTTCCAAGTACCACTCCCAAAATACATTGCTTTTCCCAGTGCTTCCTCCTTGTGCACCCAATGAAACAAATTGCCCTCATGGGGTGGGGAAGTGGTGGGTCATATGCTGTTCCTCCGCTTCTGCTCTGCCTGAAGAATTGGCTGGGTGTGAACAGGGGAGAAGAATTCATTGTTCTATAAAACTGGTCCAAGCTTTCACAACTTGTCTGTACACTGGGCAACGAGGAAAGCGGCCTATGATTCCTGAGGCCCATTCTTTCCTCTCAGCTTTTCGTGAGGTGGCTGATTTTCACATCAGCCCTATCTCAGCCTGTGTTCAGGGACCTGATTTACAGAACTGCAGATCATGTACAGCTCTTGCTGGCTTTAACTGGAATTGTGGGCTCTGAAAACTAGGCCCTTCATGGCACAATGTGGTTGCAAGAGTAAACACTTCCTAACTGCGGCACTAAAATATGTGGATTTCCAAATGAGCATACAGCCAACATTTTGAGTTCGTAAAATTAAAATGGCCCTCTTCCCCTTGATTCAAACACTTTGATGTAGCAGATCCATGTCAGGGGCTATTTACTACTCCTTTAGTAAATCAGAGGTAAATGATAGTTCTATAGCTTTTCACCCCCTAAATCCAGGTGGACAACCGATTTATGAGTCAGGACTGCTACAGACCTTGACCAGAGTTTCCTTTGGCTTCACCCCACCCAGACATAGTTCAGACACCATTTCTAGAGCTGTACATGTGATGGAACATGTTTCCATTACAGAACACTGATTGAAACATTCTACAGAGGTGATTCAATTTTCAGGCTGGTCCAATGAAAACCTATCTGATTTCCTGCCAGCTTATCTACTGAGCTCCCAGCAGTCTCTGGACTGCTGAGATGCACAGGCTCTCCGGATGATGGGTCTTCAGCAGCTTGCCTGGTGGGAAAAGTGAGACCCCCTGCTCCCATCCTCTGCAGCTTCCCTGGTAAGATACTAAGGGTGGAGGAGGGGGAAGGCTCCCAGTTCCTCCACAGCTCACCAGGTGGGTTAACAGAGAACATGGGAACACCAGCTCCCAAGCTTGTGACTCCTCGTTAGCCTGGACTTACAGGGCCTATGTCACCTAGGGCACGTCTACACTGCATACTAGTTTCAGAATAAGCTATTTTGGAGGAAATACTCTGAAATAGTGGATTTTGAAATAGCGCATTTACACAGCAAATGACCATTGAAATAGCACTGAGCTATTTCAAAATGGAGCATCACACTGATTGGATGCTGATTCATATTTAAAGCCCCTGGAAGCACTTCAGGCAGGACATCAGGACATCTGACACTTCCTGGAGCTGCTGCCTGAGGCTGAGGCCCAGGTTTAAAGGGACCCCCCTGCACAGTTGTGTCTCCATTGCCTACCTCCTTGAGGGACAGCAAAGTCTTTCCTTTGTCTGCTGTGGTTGCCCTTGCAGACACCTCAGCTCTCTAGACATGGACTGGACCTGCCTCCCAGCAGTCGACGGCTCTTACATCTCATGCTGCACCTCCTGCTGCAGTTTCTGCAGGTTACCTTCCAGACCCTGCAGGAACAGGACCCCCAGCTCACTGTGGGGCAATTCCTCTCTGCTCTCCGGGCGCTGCTTATGCAGCTCGACTTCACCTGCCCTCCCCTGCGCCCTCCACTTCTGGCAACTGGACATCAGCTCTGACCAGATTGTCCTGGAGTGGTGGGGCTCCAGAATTTCTGCACATGGAAGGACACTTTCCTGGAGTTGTGCATCATGGCCGGCTTTACTGCCATGGGATTCCCCAACTGGGCCCCCGACCACTGGGCATCTGAGTACATTAACCAGAAGGGGTATTTCTCGATGGTCCTGAAGGCCCTCATTGACCATTGCGGCCAGTTCATGGACATCTACGTCAGGTGGTCAGGGAAGACGCACGATGCATGTGTCTTCTGAAACTTCAGCCTGTTCCAGAAGCTGTATGCTGGCACCTTTCTCCCCCGCATCGCACTATCAGAGTCATGGACATGGACATGTTGATCTGTGTTGTAGAGGACACAGTCTACCCTCTGCTCCTCTGGCTCATGAAGCTCTACACCAGACACCTTGACCCAACCAGGCTGAGCAGAGCCCGCAATGTTGTGGAGGGCACCTTCAGGTGTCTCAAGGGGAGGTTCCATTGTCTCCTCACCCAGCTGGACCTTGGAGAGTAGAACATCCCCCCTGTGGTGTCGGCGAGCTGTGTCCTCCACAACCGTTAGGAAAGCCGGGGGGAGATGTTCCTGCCAGGGTTGGGAGCAGAGGCTGACTGGATTGGCAGGGCCTTTGAGCAGCTGTGCATGGCTGCTATCTGGCAAGCCCATCAGGGGGCTGCACACATCCGGGACGCTCTGAGGGAAGAGTTTCTCACAAGCATCCCAGTGACATGCTCCCCTGGGCCTCCCCACAAGGGGCCTGTGCAACGCCCCTCTTTGCCTTTCCTCCCACACCCCTCCCTTCCTTTGCCCTCCCTGCTTCCCTTCCCCCTCTACTCCCCCGAGGAGGCAATCAACTATAGATTTTGTTTGGTAACAATCAGCTGTTTTTTTAAATTGGTGACTGGGGGAAGAACCTGGGAGGTGGAAGAAGGGAGGTCGGGGGAGGTGGAGTGGGGAGGTGAAGCTCAGGGCTGGGGCTGGGAGAGGCACCTATGTCGGGTGATGCCATCGCCTCGTGTGTGGGAGCCCTCAGCAGCTCTAGGGGCGGAGAAGCTGGTGGGGCAGAACAAGCACAGGAATAGCCACTGGGGGGTACGGAAGGCCATGCAGATGGATCAGCCCTGCTGCAGCAGCTCCTGCCAGGTGTCATCGCACAGCTGGAAGTTCTCCTCCAGTCTCCGGTCCTGCTGGTCCATGGAGTGCTGCAGGGCTCGCAGGGCAGCAATATGCTCCCTCCAGAGGTCCTCATGGGCTCTCCGGTGCTGACAGATCATGCGGAGGTGGGAGGATGGCACAGAAGGTGGCGACCGCTCCCCTCTTGCAGCTGGTCCAGTGGTGAAGAACAAAAGAGAAGGGCAGTCATCCTGGGGGACCCCATGCATGAAGCTTAGCCCTCATCTCTGAGCCGAGACCAAAAAGCCTCAGGACAAATGAAGATGATGTGCTTCAAGCAAGGCCACCTGAGGTACATAGTTGGTCCTTTCTGGCAGGGGCACAGATGTCCCCCATGTCTCTGGGACAAGCAGGCACGGGAGAGTGCCAGCCAGACCAGGAGCCTGAGGAAGGAGGGAAGCTATGGGGCAGCTGGGCTCCTCTCTGTGCCACTCACACGCCAGGTCCAGCAGTGGCAGCATGTCACAGGGTGAGGACTTGTATCCCTGGCCACTGGAGGAGAGGGGGGCAGGGTGTTGAGGGAGGTGTGTACGAGCAGCACACACTCCTTCACCTCACTGCGCTGGCCCCAGGAGCAGATGCTGCCCCAAGAGGGCGGGCATGCCTGTATGCCTTGTGTGGCGCATGCGTGCACGTGTGTGTGTGTGTCCCCAGCCTCCTTCTAGTGGTGGCTTGTGGGGGGAGGGTGTCCCACCCAGTGTCAGGAGTGAGGCAGGCCTCTCTGGACCCTGAGAGCCAGAGCACAAGGGTCCTCTATTGCTGCCTTGTGGAGCTGTGTGCCCCAGACTGGTGCTCCATGTCCAATATGGGAAGGCCGGCAGTGCTACTCTGGAGCGGGAGCTGTGCACTCTAGCCTTAGCATAGGCCTGCATGAGTTTTTACTTTCATGCGCACCTGCTCCTGGGTATGCATGTGGCCCTTGGTGCCCAGGCTCTCGGCCATCTGGCCATAGACATCTGCGTTCCTGCATCTGGTTGCCTCTTCTCCCCCGATCTCAATGAGGTCCAGGATCTCTGCACCAGACCAGGAGGCACATGCCTCTTACATCCCTGGGCAGGGTCCTGGGAGCACCCGGAGGCAGTGCTTGAAGCTATGGTGGGCTCAGTCATGGCAGCAGGGAAGACTATGCAGAGTCCTGCTATGTGGCAAGATGCGAGCAGGGCCTGCTTTGTGCCATAAGCCCTTTTCCTTCTGCCTGCAGCTTTAAGGACTGCAGGGGAAGAGGAACTATAGAGTTCTGATGAGTGTGGACCTGTGGGATTTCCTAGAGGCCCCGTATTTCGAAATAACTCTGGCTGTCCTGTCTTAAGTATCTATTTTGGAATAGATACTATTTGGAATAGATAGTATCTATTTTGGAATAGGCGTTATTCCTCATAAAATGAAGGTTACAGAATTCGAAATAAGACACCCCTTATTTCAAAATAACGGGCTTGTTGTGTAGATGCTCGTTGTGTTATTTTGACATAACACTGATGTGTAGACGTGCCACAAGTCAGTCAACCATAGAGATGGGTACCCCTGTGTTTCTAGGGCTCTGTACCACACAGCCAGGCCAACTACTCCAGAGCGGAGAATTTCAGAACTTTCCCTTTCATAGAGAATTTCTAAATTTTGGGGTTTGTTCCAAACTGGAACAAAACCAAATTTAAAAATATTGAAATTGAAATGTAGGTACCTATCTCCATATAGCTCTTCTTATCTGTGGACTGCATGTATTTCAGAGAAACTTCCTAATAGGCTATTTCAGCTAGAACATGCTGACCTATCACTCCAAGAATAAAGTTAACTGCAAAATTATTTTTTCCAGTTGGACAGGAAACCTGAGAGGCAGAGTGGAAGAGGCACTGCCCTGGGATTCTGAAGTTATGGGGTCTGTTCCAAGATCTGCCATTAACACCAGCATGAGTGTGGGAAAGTCAATTCACC